TTAATGACATAGTAACTCATAACAATAATCATGAGCATCTATTTATTAACTGTATTATCCAAATTTACCACTCTCACTGTCACGTACATAAAAAAGTTCAAGATTAAAATATTTTTTAATTTATATAATTTGACTTATTTTACTTTTTAGTCTCATTATAGTTTAAAAGAAAAATGTTTAACTCTTACATTTATTTCTTCAATTATTTTTAGTCTTTATAGTTTAAGATAGATATTTTTTTATCCCTATATTTACAAATTTTTAATCTAGTCTTTGTCATTAATTTTTTTTTTTGTAATATTGTCTCTTTTATGTTAATATGACAAAGATATTAATCTAATTTTTTGTTTCTAATGTTGAATTTATTTTGCTAGATTTACACTAAATTAGGTCTCTCAATGCTTGGTATCTCTTTTATACTCTTATATGCGACATCCATTGTTGAGACATATTTTTTTTACCCTAAAAAATTGAAGACCTCTGCCATATCAATACAAAATAGATAATCTTGCAAAAAAATTTAATGATAGAAACTAAGAAGATTAAAAAACTTTAATTATAGAGACTAAAAAGATTTGTTTTAAATTATAGAGACTAAAAATGATTTAAAAAGATAAATATATAAAATAAAAAGATATTTTTTAAACTATAAAGATTAAAGGTAAAATGAGTAAAGTTATATGACTTTAAAAAATATTTTAACCAAAATTTAATTAGTAGCTAATGTTGAAATCACTCAATTACTATCATAGTAAATGAGAAAGAATAGTTTCATCTTAATTATTAATTTCAAATATGAGTTTTGAGTATTAATCACATTAAATATTTAAAAGTAGAATTTTGTAATTTTAAGTGATTTCTAAAAAATTTTGGAGATCTCACATCAACTAAGAATAAGATAATAATAATATATATAATTGGGGAACAATCTTTACCTTGGAAGCCGGTTTTGTATGACTGAGTTAACCTATTAACCCATTTTCTTAAAATGATATCAGAGCATATCAAAATCTATATCTTAGTGATTGTCGATTGTTAATGAGTTTATCAAGTCATTCATTATCGGGCCGATATTGGACCATCCACAAATGTCTATACCCTAACAATTATCCATTGTTAATGAATTTATCAGGTCACTCACTTTCAAATTATTATTAAACCATCCGCAAATATTTAGTCTTGCAAACTCAACGCTCAAGATATCTAATCCTTGATGTGAGGGAGGTGTTGAAGATCTCACATTAATTATAAATAAAATCATACTAGTATATATAAATGAAAAATAATCATCATCTTACGAATCAACTTTATAAGATTAAATTAAAATTTTGACTATTTTTTTTAAAGAAAAAATACACGTGATTTTTCCCAATGATCTTAATCTTCCTTTTTCCTTTTTTCCAATTTTTTTATTATTATTTTCATCCCATTGGCAACGTTAATCGGTTAATATGGATTAATAATTGATACACGAAGCATGGTAGATTGAAAGCCATGCAAGATATGGCATTTGAATTATAGACTTTACTTATTTGACTTAATTTAAGCACTTAATTAAGTTGTTCCCTTACACATCAAGTTGGCTACTACACAAGCAGAGTTACGTTTGACATCCTACCAAACTCGTGTGGGGCAGATTTAAAACGTGTCTATCAAAAGGGACAAGTCTAAAATCGGTCCTCCAATTCGGGGTCAATGTATGCACCCTCTTCTCTTGCACTTAACGTCCTCATACTAGTAATTATTTCTATATAAATTTAATCTCATGCAAATGATTAGTTAACGTTAAGATATAACTATTTCATATTTGTATATAAATTTATTTTAAAATACTCACAAGGAACTAAATGAGGGAGATATATCAGTTTTAACCACTAAAAGTGTCGGTGGGATTGGACTAAGCAAAATTATTAGCTCCTATCCAATTGTGTTATAATTTTGAATTTAAATTTATTATTATTTTAGTTGTCCAAGGAAAACTAAACTTCAGTTTTTTTATAAATAAAATATTAAATTTGAACCTCATGAATGAAAAAGAAGTTATTAAAAAATGAGACTTCAATGAAAATACTCAATCATATTTTGCATAATAATATAATCAATAAATTTCTTTTATCATGCTATCTCTTAAGACATAGGTTAATGAAATAGTATTAAATTATTCTTAGTAGAAATTATAATAAAATTACACAAGAGAATGTACAAATAAAATTTTCAATAAAAAAAATTCTCTATATATTTATTCCTTAAGAAGTATCTTAAAGATGCTCTCAACATTTTCTTATAGTTAATAAACATGAATAATTAATTTCGTTATTTCCTCCAATTCAATAAATGATAGCAAATGAAATTATAGATTGAAAATTTTAAGATAGTGTTTTTATTTTTATTTTTTTTACGAGAATTCAAATCAATGGTTGATGTCATCATTTGATCTTTATATATATATTTTTTTGCGATACCATGATTGTTGGCCAACAGATTTTCGTACATGATGGAGATGTATTTGATCTTTATACAAGTTTGTGTGTTAATTTAGGTAAATAATTTAATTAAATACTATGCGTAAATAATTTGTTATACATGAAAAATTATTATATAAATTTAATTAACTATAAACTTATCAAAACAATTTTTTTTGCTAAATTTCATAAAAATATTATTTTAAATACTCCTTCAATATATAGATAAATCGATATTGCTTCTAAGAAAAAAGTGTTATTTGAACTCATAATTATGAAGGGCAAGTCTTTGTGTTATCCATATCCATAACTCATGAAATTAGGGTAGTGAGTGTTTAAGATATTAAGCAAGTAATGTTGGTCAAGCTCACGCTACGATATTCTCTCCACAACATTAGCCACGACAATCTCCTTTTACATTGACTTTCTGTTTTTAAATCTTATCATACAAATGCATAATTGCTTATACACATAGTCAATTAACAACTATATATCCCAGCAAAGCAATCTCAACTTTTCAACTTTACATAACATGCATTCCACTTTACTTTTTATGCACCCAATTATAAGTTAACTATGTATTTAATTCATTTTCTCCTTTGTCTTATTATTATTATTACTCATGTCCTTGAGACCCGCGAATGGTATACGAGATTCATTGTTCCTTTTTTCTTGAAAGAACTTAATTATTTTTTAGACTTATGGTATATATTTATAACAGCTTATTTCAATAAATAGAAATTTGAATTGTACGTTCATTTTCTTTTTCATGGGAGTCTCGTAGATGTACGATCGTGTTTTAAATTTTGTCCCATTTAATATTTTTTCAAATTTTAATATTTATTTTAAAAAGTAAATATTTGACAAAATACATTTTGTGCCATCTGTGTATAAGCTTTTCGTCCCAAACAGTACCCTCAATTCAATAAATTCCCTAGAATATAAATCACAGTTTGCATGCCGGAATAAGTTTCTAACTTGAGACTAATTAAAGGTTAAGAAAAATCTAAAAAAAAATTTAGCGTCAATGTTCTCATATCAAATTCATTGTTATCGTTATAATTCTTGCATATGAGGTGTCTGAATTACTAGAACAATTTAATAGTAATTTATTTTCTTATACAAATGATTCACACAGTATCAAATCTACAATAAAAAATTAATCTGCGTTTGCAGTATCAAATATTTACAATGAAAGATTAATATGTATTTACAACACGTAACTTTTACTTATCAAATATTATTTTTAACATAATATTGGGAGATTGAAATAATATATGTACATGGTATTGTTATAAAACAAGTTATAAGAATAATTTGCAGTTATATAAAAACAGTTTAATTTCATTTTCTCTTTGATTACAATACAACTTATACATAATAAGTATTTCCATGATAAAAAAAAAACCTTAAAATTAAAGTATTTAGCGAAATGTACACTTACTTTGTCTTGGTTTACAAAAAGGGTTCCCCGACCCGACGACTGTTTGTCTCTATCTTTGTCATGAACCAATATTATAAGTGTTTATATTATTATAATGATAAAGATTAAAATCATGCAACTGTTGTTCTTCACCCACTCTATAATTCATGTGCCACGTTCTCATTTCTTATATCCAAACAATTTGTCCATAGGTGGCTGCAAGAAGCTACGTTAATTTAATTTCAACGATGGACAGCTCAAGATTGCTACAGGATAACCCACGTAAGCCAATTATTAATTCTTAAATTCCTCCATAAACCCTGCTTCTTCTAAGCAGTAATTATTTGCTGTTAGGAAGTACACATCAATTCCTTGTACATATAGGAGTTAACCACCACACAAAACAAACTGTTTAAAATTATAATATTATACAATCTCACCTTAAATTAAAGTTATATGATCCGTGCTATAAGATGTAATATATAGCTAGTTTATGAAGGATCGATGTATTATTTGAAACTCGACATGACCAACTAACTAATTTTTAAGCGATAAATTATTTAAATAATACTTTTATTTTAATTTCTGTGTACCATCCATGTAAAATATTTTATAAAGTCTAAAGTATTTTAGATGAAAAAAAATTAAACATAATTAGAAAGATAGACCCCACTAAAAATAACTACTTCAACAAAGATTAATTATATTGACAAAGTCAATAAATATTTTATACTAATAACATTTATGATGATTATGGTAAAAGTTAACAAAATATGATATTTTTTATATATATATTTATAAGAATCAAATTTGGCATATTTATAGAACAACTTATTACCAACTTTTTACTCAACCAAATTAGATAAAATTTGATAAATTTGTAGTCATTTGTTATGGAATGTTCAAACCGTTAACTCATCACATCATTATAAAATAAATTGTAAGAGTTCATTGAGTTTGTTGTATAAAGATAATTTCTCTCTCTTTTATTTTATTTTATTAGACTACTAACATTATTAAATGGTAAGACATGGTAAAGTAACATGTACGTCACATGCTGCATGGACCATCTCTATGAATTTCCCCGTTATTGTAACACGAGTTGATGAGGACTATAAATCACTGAGTACTGTTCTGAAATCAAGCACAGAAATGAAGTTGCTTCTTACAACAAGTATCTGAGTTTTTATATATAGTTCTCTGGCAATCAAGGTCTCTACCAAATACGCAGAAATGGGAAGCCAGAGTTACTTGAAGGTTTTGGTTATTTGTCTCATAGCAGCATTACTTGGATCAACTCAAGCTCAATTGCAGCTTGGTTTCTATGCTAAAAGCTGTCCAAAGGCTGAACAAATCATTTTCAACTATGTTGTTGAGCATGTCCACAGAGTTCCATCACTAGCAGCTGCCCTCGTTAGACTTCATTTCCATGATTGTTTTGTCCAGGTATGCACTTCAAGTTTGTGCTTCGATTTCATTTTTATTTTTATTTTTTATTTTCTAACTCAACTAATTCAGTATAGCACATGACTTATAACAAACTCCTTTCATATTGAGTTCAATTTTTACATAAAAAAAATTCATTTTCTAATCAGTGATTATCTCTATGCATGGTCAGCACAATAAGTGATATGTTTGATAAAATTGTTGACTTATATAATAATTATTTTTAAGAAATTTTTGTATTTCCTGAAATGTTTTTACTTTTTCAATAACCTGCTATTAAAAATGTTAATTTTTTTACCTAAAAAATATCATATTAATGTTTTTACTTTGTAAATAACTAGGTATTAAAAATGTTTTATTATTGTAAAAAATATTACATTATCTTAATTTTTGTAATTAATACATTACAAATATTTGATTTTTAAGTAATATTTATAAATATTTTTAATAGTATTTATGGCCAATCAAACATATTTAGTCATTCTTAAAAATTATGATTTTTAGAATTTATGATTTTTTCACAATTGATTGATACAGACATAGAAGTTAAACTCATTTGTTAAAGTGAGGAGCTAACATGTAGCATTAATTTCAGGGTTGTGATGCATCAGTGCTACTGAACTCAACGAAAAACAACCAGGCTGAAAAGGACTCTATTCCAAATCTTACACTTCGAGGCTTTGACTTCATTGAAGGAATAAAGAGCCTTGTTGAAGCTGAATGCCCTGGGGTAGTCTCTTGTGCTGATGTCTTAGCTTTGAGCGCCAGAGACTCTATTCATGCCATTGTAAGTACTCAATTGTTTCATCCTCATCTCTAAGGAAACATGGACACTTAGAATAATAGTTTGGTGATTCATGATTGCTTGCGTACCCATTAATTTTTTGTGTTATTTTTTCTCTTTGACTTTCTCATATAGAATAGAAATGACCAATATGCTTGTTCTGTCATGGGTTTGCAGGGTGGACCCTACTGGAATGTTCCAACAGGTCGAAGGGATGGATTAATCTCTAGAGCAACAGATCCATTAGTTAGCCTTCCTGCTCCATTCCACAACCTCACCACCCTCTTATCACGCTTTGCCAATGTTGGACTTGATGTAAACGACCTTGTCTTGCTTAATGGTATGTCCAACATTCACTAACTGAAAAGTAATTAAGAAAAAATTTCAATTCTAATCGATAAAGAAAAAAGAACAACACTAAAATCATTTTTGTCATTGTCTTTGTTCCACATTATAAATTCTTTGTTTCTAATGACCAAAGTTGAAATTCCTTTAGGTGCTCACACAATTGGGATCGCACATTGCTCTACAATTGCAAATCGTCTATACAATTTTACTGGCAAGGGTGACACAGACCCAAATCTAGACAGTGAATATGCAAAAAATCTAAAGACATTAAAGTGCAAGAATATCAATGATAAAACTACACTTATTGAGCTGGACCCTGGAAGTCGTGATACATTTGATCTTGGCTTTTACAAACAAGTGGTTAAAAGAAGGGGCTTGTTCCAATCAGATGCTGCATTGCTTGATAGCTCCATCACAAGGTCTATTATCGCCAAACAACTTCAATCAACTCAAGGATTCTTTGTGGAGTTTGCCAAGTCCATAGAGAAAATGGGTAGAATCAATGTCAAGATTGGAACAGAAGGAGAGATAAGGAAACATTGTGCACGAGTGAACAACTAAAACTATATGTTGAGTAGGTGCAATTTGTATGTCTACTTTTCAACTCAATTATTATTATTATTTTTTTTTGTTTATCTATGTTATGCTAATGGTGTCTTGATATAAGAGATACCTTATGGTCCAGTTGTTTTTCCGAGTGGCAAGGGAAAGATTGGGGAGTGATTTTTAGGTTCGAAGGGAAATCAGGTTATGGTGGTAATAAGTAGAATTACGAGAGAGAATTTGTTGTAAAACATAATTTCACAATAAAGTCTCCCCTGCTACGTTGAAAACAAATTATGATTTGTTTTTCTTTTTCGAAACAAATTATGATTCAATAATAAGTTCTATTATTATTATTATTATATATTTATTGTTAATTTTTTAACTATATTATTAGTGTAAAGTATTTATCATTTCTACTAATAATTAATATTTATTGAGAAACTTAATTCATCACTTTTACTCAATTACATATTTCTTTTTACATAATTTGGTTCTTTCACCTCTCAAATTTTTCCATCACAATGTTTGAACTTGAAACCATGTTTGAGAAATTCGAATTAGAGCTTGTTGGTATTTTTTTCATCAATTTAAATTCTCAATATAAAGTGGGTGAAATCATTTAACCTAAAATGTTATTTAGAAAAACTAAATTTTTTACTTGAATTAAGAAATGTTTTATTTATTTATTTATATGTAAATTTTTAGCATGTTCTTGAATTTTAGATCTGGCATGTATTTTATCCAACAGTTTACTTCTCGCATTTTTATTATGTGTTCATTTCTTTAAGAAAAAAGTATTTCTCTAATTAAAAACACGTGTGAAGATTTATAATAACTATTTAGTGATTAAAAAAATGTTTTGTACAGTTTTTTTAGAATGTAAAAAATAGTTACTTATCGAAAAAAGCTCTAAAATTTGTTTATAAGAAAATAGGAATGTGGGCTATGGGTTTGGATTTGAAGATCCGGCCCACTCTAAGGCCCACACCCTATAAACCCTAATTTCGTGTTTCACTCTTCACTGCTTATATAATCGAACCTATAGCCCCACTCATTCTCATCTTCTTCTTCGTAGCTCATCTCGGCAATCAATCAGCGTTTAAGGGTTCGTCTTGTTTTATCATCCGGAGCCTGAATTCTCCTGAAGATTTCATCTTTACGAAATTCATTTTCGGCATTTCAATGCTTTGTGATAGTAATCTTTTGTATTTTTTCTTAATTTCTTTTGACATTAAAATTTAGGTATTATTTTTGTGCTGTGACGAGACAATTTTGTGGACTAGAGTTTCTGATCTGGGGGTTTACTCCAGGGTTTACTCAGAAGTTGATTATTAACCCTTGGCTGTCTGAGCACACCCAATTTTTTATTATAAAGTTTTGTTTTTTCATTTGTTTTTCAATTTTAATTTTAATTTTCCTAACATTTGTGATTTTGGAACACTTATTTTGTTATTGATTTGAGAAAATGATTTGGCTTATGATGATAATTTAATTATCTTAGCGGATTTCAGTGAGATTTCTATCAATGATCTGATTGTTACACACACTGAAGCCATTCACTAATTCTAGATTTTGACTTTTGTTTTTAAATGTGCATTTTCTATTTGTTCTATTTCGTTGTACCTATGGTTATTAGTGTAGCCACAATAGGTGGTATTTGACCTTTTTGTTACCAGGCATTGTAGTAAGCAATTTTGTGTTGAGAAGTGCAATGATGAGATGAAACACCTAAGTGTTTATGGGCAGTGGACGTTACCCTAAGGTTTCGCCGTGAGCCTGTATTTTAATGACTTCTCCTTCCACTGAGCACTATGATAAATGTTAGCGGAAAAAGTGTTTGAATGAATGCGTATTAATGGTTGTATATTAGTGATTATAGTTAATTTTGAATGTCAAATATTATTGACTCTAATGTATATTATTCGCTGCGTCCATTACCAATTCTGGGGGATATCTAGTTCCTCTTGGTATAATGGCTCGGACGCAAGACCAACGATGTGGTCATCCTGATTGATGGTTTAATGACAATACCATTTGGTCTTGGAAACGCCACCAACATCATAATGGTTATAGATATAGATGAATGCAAATCCGATTCTTGTGATTCAATTTTTAGATCAATATGTAAGATTAGGTGTTTACACTTTTAATAGTTATAAACAGTATTTTACTTTAGATCTTCTCATCTTGATTTCTAAGGTTACCAAGAAATAACTCGAACTGTCAGGCGACTGCCCTGCGGATCAATCTCATAGAAAGCGTAATTCAGTGAACTTTAGATTTTCATGTGTAAAGTTAGCAACCATGTGAAATGGCATAGCAACTAAAATTCAGAGATAGAACATAGATGAACAGTTTTTACTTTAGTATAGAAGGAAACATGAAGTGCAATGACAATAAGCTCTAAACTTCCAATCTACCAAACAGAGATGAATGATTAAACGAAGTGACTTCATTTTAATTTCTAAATAATGTTTTGTCTCCATTACATATGACTAAGTGCTAATAATCAAAACATGAATGCTTATACTTTTAACAAAGCCTTTTACTTTTTTTTTTATAAAAAAAGCTGTATACCTGTACACTCTTGCAGAAGATAACATGAAAATGAAACACAGTTCTCACTTCTCAATAACGAAGACAAAAGTAACATGAGAAATGTAACATCCGATCTAAAATTGATTCTAGGCTAAAAATTTAATTTGTCCCTTATAATCTTTTTTTGTTTCAATTTAGTCTCATTAATTTTTTGTCTCAATTTGGTCTCAAACTAATTTATTGGTTTTAATTTAGTCTCAAATTAATTAATTGGTTTCAATGTGGGACTTTCCGTCCAAATTGCTTTAACAATGTTAACTTTTGGCCACGTGGATATCACGTAGATGCATACGTGGATGAGAATTTTTTTAAAACACCTGGACCCAGGACGGCCCGTTCTGAAACTGGAACAGGCTGTTTTGGGGGCACTTTTGGTGTGTTAATTTTGCATCCGGAACGGCCCGTTCCAAGTGCAAAATTAACACAACGAAAATGCAACCAGGGCCCGTTCCGATTTCAGAACGGGCCGTTCCGGTTTTATTTTATTTTATTTATATATAAAATATTAATAATTTTATAAAATATATATTATTAATTATATTTTAATTATGTTATTATATCTAATAAAATAAATATATTAATATTTTTTTATATTTTATTTTATTATGTTTATTTTATTAATTTTTATCATTTTATTCTTTTAATCTTAAATAAGTTGCAAAAAATTATAAAGTGATATTTAAATATTTCTTCAAACAGAAAGAGAAAGAAAAAATTATTACTCTATTTATAAGATAATTATATTTTATAAAAATAAGTAATTTTAAAATTTTTACCATAAAAAAATATTTTTCAAAATTATTATATTTTTTAATAAAATTAATCAAGAATATTGGTTTAATTGCATTTTTTATCTCTCAAGTATTACAATTGTGCAGTTTTGTGATCTCCAAGATTTTAATTGCATAATTTTAGTCCTTAAAGAATTACAATTGCGCGATTTTGGTCCTTCAATTTTTAATTGAACAATTTTAGTCCCTC